CCACCGCCACAGGCGGGGGAGCCCAGGCACCGGGGCCCGTGGTGATGACCGACAGGGCCAGGAGGGGCCCCGCTGAGCAGAGCCCCGTGGAGGACCTAACCCTCTGCCCTCACTGTCTCCCTGCCAGGTGCTGGAGGACAGTGGCATGCCCATGGACGACCACCAGCTCGCCCTGCTGGCTGCGAAAATAGGCTATAAGGAAGAAGGGATGAGCTACCTTGATTTTGCCACAGGCTTCGAAGGTAGCCGTTGGCCAGCACACCCGCTGCCGGGCAGGGCCTGGGTGGTGGCGCGAGTCTCCCTGCAGCACCAGGGGCTGCTCACGTCGAAGGAGCCTGAGCTGTGAATGTTGAAACGGCGTGTGTTCTGGGGCTGGAAAAGCACCTTTTGTTTAACTTTATCCGACTCTGTTTCTGCCCGTCTTTTCACCGAGTTAAACTGAGCCGTGAAGGGTCTCCCACACCCTCAGAGCACGCAGGGCCTGTAAACTGACACCCCAGCCTGTTTCTCCACTCACGCCTCATGTCCTTGAACCTTTTCCTTCTAAAAACAGATGCTAGTATCTGTAATTAATAAGGCACACGGAGCGTGGCAGGTGCTGCTCCTCCCTGCAGACAAGTCAGGATGCAGGGATTCTAAAAGGTCCAGCTACCTGCCGGGATCACCCTCCCAACACTGGCTAGGACGTCTGTCTTGGCCCCCGGGCGAGAGCTGGGTCCCCCTGCCTGGACAGATGGCCACCTTGGGGCCAGGGCTCGTTGGCTCCAGCCCTGCCCTTCCCTCCACTCGCGTGTGAAAGAGGCGGAGCTGGACGGTGGGCCCTGTCTCACATGTCAGCGCGTCGTCCTCTCCGGGTGCAGATGCCCTGCAGGCCAGCGGGCGGAACCCGGGAGCCGCCTGCATCTTGCTGATTCCGGGCTAGGTCCTGGAGGTGACCGAGTGGGGCAGGGCCTCCCGCGGATGTCCTGGCCACACCCTCACGAGGTCCCGCCTACCACGGGCTCCTTTGCACCCTGAGGAGAGAGGGCTGGCACCTGTGAAAACAGGGTGCAGCGAGAGACGGTTAGAGTTTCGGCGCTCTCCATGGGTATATGTTTCGACACTTTTGAAGGAAAATTTAAAAAGAAGTAAGACTCATTTACAGTGAGGTCTTCAGAATGTCTGTGGTGCGTGCATTTTCGGAAGAAACCCTGTGTGGATTTCGTATATTTTGGCACCAAAATAAAACCACACTTCATTTTACTTTCCACAAACTTTTGAAGCGCCCTGAGTTTTATTAAGTGCTTCCAGTGCACCAGGCGCATTCACCTCTCCGGTGAGGACGTTGAGCAGTCGCTTCTCCGAGCTCCCAGAGCTGGGGACCCCTTGCAAGGTGGGGACCCGACTCAGGGCACACTTGTGGCCAGCTCTGGGCTTCCTCGCTGCCCAGACTGGTTCTCTCCCCTCTCTTTCCTCTCCCTCTCCCGGCCCTGTCTCCTTCCTGCCCCTCTGAGCAGCCTGACTGTCCTCCATCAGTCCCCGCAGGACCCGCTGCTGTGGGATGGGGCGCTCAGGCCGAGGTCAGTGGTGGCCATGGCAGAGGATCAGGCAGTGGGGCAAGTGTTGCCTGCCGGGTAGTAATGAGCCTGGGCAACCACTCACAGCCTCCACTATGAGGCGGAGTGAGGCAGAGTCCAGGCTGCAGGCCGGCATGGATCCCCGTCCGCTCTGGACACCGCCCTCTTCATCCCCCGCAGACCACACCCGAGGGGAGGGCGCGTTCGCAACATGGGCACAGAGCGACATCCGTGGCTTTGAGACAGGGCACGAGCCTGATGGAAATGGGCTGGTTTTAGCAGGTCCCTTCCTACCTTTGCGGGAGCAAGGCCTTGGTGCCGTAATTGTCCAGTCAGGCCCCAGAGTCCGACGGGCCCGAGTGGGCTGTGCCGTCGCAAGCACTACCAGCTGCGGGAGCTGAGCCTCTGTCCCCTCCTGCACCCTGTGTGTAAACAAGGCCTGAGGACCTCCCCGAGGAGCAGGAAATGTATGCGGGCCACTGGCCAGTGTCTGACAAAGGGCGTACTCGGGACGTAGTCAGGTGTGTCTGTCGAAGTAGCCCTTCAGGACATGATTTTAGGAAACAGACAGGCAGAGTTCTGTCTCTGCCCTGGGAATTGGGAGTTGAGAAGACGGAGCCCCGCCCTCGAGGAAGGACAGACTGCAGAGGTGTGAACCCGCCAGGTGGGCTATGTGTGTGCTGGCCCGTGCTGCTGTGATCCTGGGGCGCTCACTCGGAAGTCCGAGGACCAGGGCCCAGACCAGAGCGGTCAGTGTCCCGTCAGTCCAGGGCTGGCGTGCCGGGGAAGTGTTTGAGCGAGAACTGGGATGGAGAAGCCAGGTGGCGGCCGGGCCCTGATGGAAGTCTTCAGATTGTGTCATCGTTTCAGACCCTGCACCAAGTGGGCCAGAAGCCACTCTGCCTCTGACTCCAGCTCCTTCAAAAAGTCACTTGAACAGCCACTTCATAACTGCTGAAGAATGCCTCGCGCTTTTCCCCGGGAGAGTGAAGGAGTCGTTCCAGGTAAATGGCCGTCTCCCCACTCCGCAGCTCACAGCCCAGCTGGCCTGAGTCACGGTACCAGGCAGGTCCCCTCGCCATGGCAGGGGACATGGCCTTTCCTTCCACAGACCCCTCCCTCGGTCACGGAGAGGTGTTGATGCATTGCTGGGGGGTGTCCTGACAGACATGGTCCAGTGGATGCAGATCCCCCTCCACGCCGTGCACGCACTCACTCACTCTCAGACAAACACGACACACACACGACAAGCCAGAACCGAGGCTAAGTGCGGGGATGGAAGTGACAGGCCCCGCCCCAGGGAGCTCAGTCTTACCCAAGACCTCGGCGGTGACAGAGCTCCTGTGCATTGTGATCCGCTGTTGTAGAGGGCACCGCAGTGTGCTCTGGGGGCGCAGGAGAAGGACTCCCTCCCAGAGGCTTCCTGGAGGAGGTAGCCCCTGCACTGACTCTTAAACCCTGAGCACGTGCTGAGCCAGGCAGGTGGCAGACAGGGCACGGCACAGGAGGAGCGTGTGGCTGGCCGCGTGCGGAGGCTTGCAGGCACTGGCCGGAGCCGAGAGAAGCAGCGGTGTGGACAGACAGGTAGTGACCGGACGCTCCTGTGCCGAGAAGTAAAGGAGGGTGATTAAAGCAAGAAGAAAGACAGATTTAATACAGGGAACCGTTTTCACTATAAAGCAGGGCCATGGGCACAGGGAACCTGGTGTAGCCCAGGGTTCATGTGGGTGGGGCGACACTGCAGTCGGCGGAATGGAGGGGGTTAAGAGGAGGGCTGAGGAGAGGCCTGGTGGGTGAGCTGGCCTCTGCGGGCCCGGGGAGGGCAGCAGCCCCACTTTTCCCTGCCCCGAAGTATCTTCCCCGTACTGATCACCAAATGGAGATTCACTTTGGTTACGAACTCCCGTTTTAGCATAAATGCATTTGTGATGAGTCGAGTTTGGATTTTCCGGGGTGACTCTGACTTCGAACACTGTCCATTCGTCAGACCATGCATCCTAATTCTTTATTTGAAAGAAGGTGGCACCCTCTGCATATGTGGGGGAGGATTAGACCCCGTTATTTAATCCCGTCTAGTGCCCAGCCAGGGCCAGCGCTGTGGGAACCCAGAGTGCGGGCTGAAGCCTGCAGGAGGCAGGGCCCTTCCTGCGGTGAGCGGCGAGCGTGGTTCCCTGAGGGAGGCAGGCCCGGCCGGGAGGGAGGTGCCCGCTCCTGCCTGCCATTGCCACACCGTCTCCTTTCTCTGGTGCTTCCATCTCTGTCTCTCTTCCTCTCCCACCTCTCACCTGCCCCAGCGGGGGGCACGGGGAAGCCCAGCCCCCACCAGCACCGGTCTCCTGTCTACAGTAGTGTAGCTGGGCCACAGCGAGCGTGTGTGCTCTAAGATGACCTTTACTATGAATAGAGAACAAGGCTGGACACACAGCGGCCGACACCTGCTCTGTCCTG